TCGAAAACCATTTACGCTATTGGAAAAATTCATAGATTAGGAAACGTGGGAGATTCAGGGCTATGACCTTTACTCCGAATATTTTGAAAATTATATACAGGGTGTGTTGGGTATGTTGTATTTGGACAAAAATTTTCTTTAAACGACTGTTAAGCACTGAAACTTGCAGCTTTCTCCAATAATTTCCGAGATTTCAATTTGAATTACCCCGTACAACATGCAGAGTACCGAAAAGATGGCAGCTGTTGCGTCTGCGTCGCAATAAAACGACGATAAAAATAAAACGAATACGTAGGGACCGAGCTCATTGTAAGTACCTACCTATACACACATACACAGGCACACACCCCTGGCAGGCGTTTTCCTGTGCAAGGAAATTTTTCGTCGTCCGACAATAATGGCTCCTTGTCCCGGGGGGGCGATTTTTTCTCCTTCCTCCCGGGCAAAAAATTAAAAAAAAAAAAGGAAAACGCCACCCAGTACCCTTTTACGGCGGCCACATGGCGGCAGACAGAGAGAGGAAACGGGGACAAGTACGTGTATTACAATGCACGCCGGGCATTTTTACGTCTTCGAAAATCAGTGGCGTGCGATTGCCGTCGCCTTAATATTAATTAAAACTTAACGAACCACCTAAAAATTACTTCAAATTCGAAGTAATTAAAGTAATTGTTGCTTTCAAACCATTGCTTAATCATACTGTATGGCAAACTCATAAAGAATACCCGGGCAGGTAGATCAACCATAGACCTAAATGTCGAAGTTAATAAGAGCACAAACAACAAATAATAAAACTTAAAACGGGAAATCGATTAACAATAGGAATACTGGCAACACAAATACTGATTGACAACAAGACAGAAAACTGATTGATGATTATGAAATCTGGGCAAGGAAAGTAAACCAAGAAAAAATTGAATACATGTATATGCGGGGCACACATAAAATTAGAACATATAGTAAATAAACGAACAGACGCCTAAAAATATAATAATAAACTAAACGGAATTCCTTGGGACCAAAGTAGATCAAAAGGTCTGGAGTCGATCAGCCGGAAGAATAACCATTGAACGAGTTAGGGAGATTATGGCTATTACACACACTATTATAGACATTCGGTATGGTATGCCTCTAGAAAAACTTCCAAAACAAACACGGTTCGGCAATCGGAAGGACAAAGGAGACCAAGCAGACCACCAAACAGTCGGAGAGAAGAGAAAGAGAAAGTCGGGCGTCCTTTTAACTTGCCTCCTCCGCCAGAGCGATCAGAAAGAGACACGAGACCAGAACCTCGCTCATAAATCCCTCCTTTAAACGATTTCCGATTTTAGTTGAATTTTAACATATCCGAATAATCAAATGTTAAAGGTTGAAATATAAACGATCTCATCAAGCCATAATTCGATTTTTTCTTAGTAGTATCTTGCCTGCTTTTCGAAAACCCGTCAAAATCCCAGAAATCAAAAAGTTTTTGCTAGAAAATTGAAAAATCGAAAACAAAAATACGAATAAAAATTTGGGACGCCTTCATTTGGAAGTGAAACATCCCCGTTGTGCCGCCCATGCTTTTCTGCACTCTGCGTTTCCCCTAGCAACCGGTCGACCGACCGCTGTCCCCGTGCAACAACTGCACACACACATATACACACAAAGGAGCTCACGTGAACGCAAAACGAGAGAGACAGAGAGACATGCAAAGAGCTCTTTCAAATCTTTTAACTTTCACCGGTCGGGAACCAGAAGAAAATGCATTATTCAGCAGCCTTCGCCCAGACAAAACGGTTAAACAACAATCGATGAATAACGGGAAACAATCGACGTATGCTATAACGAGAGAACCAGAAAAATTGAAAATCGTCGCGGTATATTAACGGTCAGTGCGTGGTGCGGCCGTAAGAAAATCATCGCTCTTCTTCTCGCGGTCCGACCCGCAGGTTTTTCGGAGAGGGTCCAAATCTCTTTGTGCAGTGCATTCACCTCTATAACAACGATGCGCGCAAAGGCAGTGCCGTGCGTGGACTGTCTCCCTCGGCTTTCTCCAGTCTCAATAGCACGACTTTCCTTGTAGACAAATTATCTTCGTTTAATGTACTCTATTCATTTTTTTGTTAGTATTGTTAAGATTTTAGAAAAAATAAATAAAAAGTAGCAAAGTTGCATCTCACATCTCACCGCCGTTCGACGACTCCAATTGAGTACAAGTAAGGGTAAGCCAACATTGAAAATCACGTAGTCCTCCCAAGTGCGACTGGCGGAGCCACCTACCGGGTTCACTCGTAACCTAAACACCTCCGTGGAAGGTCCCCGGACCCCGGGTAGAGAGTACCGCCGGATATTTCCGGTTAGCATCGGCCCGCGCCCGATCACCGTCAGGGTTATGGTATCGGGTAGGTTCGGTGTGTTTGTCACAGCAAAGTCATGTCGCTGAGCCCCCGCGTCAAAAACGGGGGGGTAACAAAACGGGGCCCACTCTGAGAGGACTACTTTTTTATTTAAATCTAACACTAAGGGGTCCGGCTACATCGGTACGACAATACCCACTTAGTAGACGTATATCTCTCTTTCTAGCGTACATGCTTGATTGGTTTTACAGAATTTCATGGTAAAGTCTGTTCATAGGTATAAGAAAGTGACTAACCCATACGAATTAAAGAAAGACCCTGGCAAGCTGTAAGAATTAAATATGGGCGAACAGGTCCGTACTTTGCTTACAATTTAATTATTTGGGCTTTTGTTAGGAAAGATGCTAAATCTAAAATAAAATTACAAATGATTTTTAATACCTATTTAAATAACTTAAAATTATTCACATAATATATCAGTGTCACTATCATCGCCTGTTTGTTTAACACAATTTGTCCAACTTTGTGGTGTGATGTTAAAAACTTCGGTTTCTATAAGTTTGAGGACATTGAAGTTAACACATAAGGTAGTTCCGCCACATTTAACACCGGTTTAATCTTTTTCAAGTCTCCTAATTAAGATATCTAATGTAGGCATACTTTGTTCCTCGTATAACTGGTAAATTTTACGCCATATTATATCTTGATCACTTTCATCTACACTCGAGAAAATGTCAGCATCGCTTTTTTTTTCCTCTATGAAATGGGATAATTCACAATTTTCCATGCAGTTGATGTTGGAATTTTCGTCAATGTGGTCGTTTCTTCTAAAGATGCTTGCTTGCTGGCACCACGTTCAGTGAGAGTCAAATTGTTTATAAGTTCCTTAGTCTCAATAGAATAAATAGTGTTTTCTACATTTGGGCGGGAGCATCTCCTGAGATACACTAGACTCGCACATATTTTGCAGAATTCGCACACGATTCAACACACGTTGTATTAAACACGAAATAAGAATGATTACTAATAAACTTAAACTAAGTAGTATAGCAAACCAAAGAATATTAAACACAGGTAGGTATAAAATTATTTTCTATTACGGACCACTATTTTACCTGAATTTAAATTCCGAAACTTTACGTAATAATCTTATTGCATTGTTTGTTAATGGCCACCCTTGGATAATTCCATTGAAAAGCAATTGGTCACTATGAACAGACCTTACCTCACCCTTCCTGAATGTTATTGAATCTGAGTCAAATTAATTGCATTGTTAGACCGGCTTATATAAATAATCAGTATCGTTTAACTAGTCCTGCGCATCCGCCATATATTAAATTAGTGTTGAGACGATTTTGAACGACCCAATTCCCCAATACGTTTTCAATCGCTCGTTCGCTCTATCAGCAACATATAGTTTAATCAACAAGTCGAATTCTGTTTGGTTTATCCATACATTGTCAAGTCTCAGGAGGTGATTTTTCATAAATACATAATTAGTTCGATATTCCAGGCTTTCAGAGCATAAAAATATCCAATTTGATCGGTCGTTCAACAAAATCATGTTGTGACTATTTAAGAATGTCACAATTTCTTGACAGCTATAGAAAAAAAAATGTTTGTATGTCGTTTAACAAAAATACAACTGTTTTATGGAAATTGTGACAAATTGAATAATATCCAAACGTTATCATTTTATAATGATTGTCTAATTCGAATTACCCATCTCTGAGCCTCTCCCCTCCGGTCGCATGCACCGTTGCCAGATTTCACGATCATCGCGTAATACGCAAACTAGTGAGATCTACTGATAACAGTGCGGCAAAAAAATTAGCGTTAGTGACTTTGGATGGACGAAAAAAAACTAGAAAATATTAATCAATGTTTATTTTACATTTTAGAAAACAAAGGTTAATACAAAACTTATTGGGTTTATTTATATACAAGGGGTGTCAAAGATATATTTAAAAAAATAATAACAATTAATTTAAATTTGTAAAGTATAGAACAGGTTATAATTATAATTGTACAACAAAATCTACATCTACTTGACCATGCATTATCATGGCAAAATGATAAACATGCGAATAGGGCTAGACCATCCGAAATCATATAATGGCAAATATTATAGACAGCGATTAGCCTAGTTTGGCTAAATCTTACTCTACCAGATACCATTTTGTGGGGAATTCAAAAAACAGAATTTATTTTGGGCGTCATGGGAATATAGACGGCATCAGAAAACTAATTAGGAGTGAAACAAATAATATTAATAATTTGAATCGTGACTGATAAGTTAGGGCTACAACTGCATTCCGAAACGAGGACAAAATTTTTAACATCTATCACAAGATTCCTTATCAATAAATTAGTGTAAATATCTTTGCATTATCCATATATTTTTTGTATGTATTATTTAAAAAAAAATATATACAACTAAAATTGTTTTTTTTTGGCAATTGATTAATTAACCATTTTTGATCAATAATATTGTCATAATAAGTAACTATTTTATTTTGGGTAATTCTGCCATTAATGCAAAAAATAATTATAACATGTTAAATATTTAATAAATTTAAATTAATTATTATTATTTTTAAATATACCAACTACCACTACGTAAATTACAAACTATCCAAGTTTCTTAATTTTTCGGTTTTCTTGTCCCATCGATTTCAACGATTTTCGCTCCTAGCCATTTGACAACGGTGTCAGCAGGTCGCCGGGCGCGGCGAGAAGCGGGGGGTCCGGGTCTTGAACGCATCGTCAACAAACGATCGTTTACCTGAGGTGGGTGTTTTTTTTTGTCGTCAGTTTCACCCAGACGGGCGCGTCCAAAGGGAACATCGCGATACGCACAAAGGGCGTCTTCTCAGTTATGGTGACGTGTACGTGACAACGAAAAAACAATGTGGTCCCTGTTGCTGCTGCTATCGTTGTTGTTGTTGGGCGTCGGCGGTCAATACGAATGGCAGGCCCGCGACGCCTTCGACGAGATATCGCGCGCCGTGCGTCTCGTCAACAAAGATAACTGCGAGATCATGCACACGGGCGATTTATACCTCCCCCAGGAGGCCGTCTCTCACCTGCCCGACATCAAAGATATCAACATCAACCCCGTGTTCCCCAACAGGACGCAACTGCTCCACCTGCACAACATGGCTCTCAATCGCGCGTTCTTTTGGTCCTACATATTGCAGAGTAGGTTCATCAGGCCGGCGATCAACGATACTTACGATCCCGGGATGATGTATTATTTGCTCTCCACGGTTGCGGATGTTTCCACCAATAAACACGTCAACGCGAGCGCCATTTATTTCGCGCCCAACGTTTCGTATTCGAGCTCGTACCGAGGCTTTTTCAACAAGACGTTTCCCAGGTGAGTCCTGTCAAAGTCATCGGGACGTCGTTTCCTTTATATAAGGGCCGCCGCGTAAAGCACCAAAAATACTGCCTGGATACACCGATTGTGCCATCATAAAAATGATCAGTTCCTAATTAAAATTCATCGACCTTACTTAACAGGTGTCTATATTAAGATAAATCGATGAATTACCTGTAATTAAAAACTCTAGGATTTTGTAAATAACAATGCTGCTCAACGACAAATTGGTAAAGATGGGTGAAGTCTTTTATAGGAACATTCTGTTGAAACAAAACTTTTTGAAGCAGATCCCAACATTGCAGCCTGATCACACTACACGAACTTTTTTACGCAGGCACCGTCTGATCTACCACCCAGCTATTAAAATGGCCAATTGCCAATGTCCATTTTAAGAATCATGCTATAAAGGCTGCCTTTACTTCACTAAAACCTGATCAGATCTGCTTCGTATGTACCGTATAGCTACTAAACACATATACAGGAAGTCATGAAGCAGCTATGTAAATTTTTTTTGAGAAGGTCCCTTCAACGTGGGCATGCGCGAGATTTAAAATTTCGTTTTTAAAAAATGGCAGCCCTAATGGCAAATTCTGACGTTGGACCCATAAGACCTTGCGGCTTTCAACAAACAACATGACCGCTGATAGATCGTCCATAGTTTTCAGGCAAAAAAGAAGTTAAGGTGTGGAAAAGCAGTGCAGTGCACCCGGCGTCAGTTTAATTCTGTAATTAATTTGTCTTTTTGTTTTTTAAGTCCTGTAGATATTTCTCCATGTATTGATGATGTATGATTTTTTTGCTTGCAAATGGGCGCAAAACGTTAGGTTTAAAAATGTTCAACAAGCACCTCCTATAGACAATAGTTGACGATGGGTATTTCCTATGCTTGTTCTAGTAAAAATTAAACTTGTAGCTTAATTGTTTTCTTACATTTCCTGTAATCCTTGTACACTAAAATATATTACCCAAGCATTCTTCGTAGCTATTTAAGTGTACCTAAAATGTAGGGAATTCTGTTTAGTCATTTTTGAATGTCTATTTTCCAGTTTTCTTAAATGTAAAATAAATAGGAATCACTGGTTCTATCCTATTGGGTCCTCATATTTGCCATATTTGCTGTAATTTCGTAAAAAAAAAAAAAGTTTGTGAGTATGGTACGGAAATATTGACACCAAAAATGAAAACAACAATGGCACATGGCACTGAGTGTTCTGTGATGTTACCTCAGTCGGATTTTTGGTTGCGCAATTAAATACTAACAGTTGCTCGAACGATGCCCTTCCGTGTATCTCTCAAATAACACAGCGAATCGCGCCGACCCATAGTGAGACTTTGTTACAGGCTTAGAACTATGCAAACTTTACATAGCAAGAGACTACCCAGAAAAAATAGTAAGCAATTCTGATACGAAGGGCTTTTTATGGCTAAAGTACTTCTTGGAGACATAGGGTATACAAGTATTTCACAATACAACCAATGTACATTTGAAATAACGTATCTGTATTTTATTCTATATATCTTAAAATATTGTAAACTTGGGCTGTATTTTATACACTATTTATATATTTATGTTCTTTGCCTTGCTTCCTGTGTTGTCCGACACAGCTGTCATTCATATGGCTCAATAAAACTTATTGTTATTAATTGAACTACTAGCTCACCTGATATAGGTTGGGTATGCGACTTAGTAAAGTTCGATATATAAGGTAAAGGTCAGTTACACAGTTTAAATAAAAAAAAGTGATAAAGATAGTGGCAGAAAACAGAGATAACGGAATTATGTTTCTGTGGTACCTAAATGGTTTCTATGGACTTCTAAAAGTATAAAAAAAGCGATAAATCACTATCTCGTTTTGTAATACAGGTATAACACCCCATTAAAGAGCGATGGTATAATATGGTCGTATTAGGTCCTCATATTAGCCACATTTTCTGTAATTTCGTAAAAGAACAAAGCATTGAAGGCACAAATTATACAAGTTTGTGAGTACGGTACGACACCAAAAACGAAAACAACAATGGCACACACAGGGCACTGACTGTTCTGTGACAATAGTAATTACTTAGGATTCACAGATTTCAGAGATTGACGTTTGCGGTCCTATAAAAATTCATGAATTTTCCAGAAAAATGACGGGAATGTAGCAACTCAGACAGTTGGGGGTGACGCATGCGCAAAAGATCCATAGCTTCTCTACGAAAATATCATAGCCACCTGCGCCGCATCAATTTTTACCATAGTAGGGCCACTATATATATTATCTTATGGATATATCTACCTAAGACATTACTATTCACTTTCTTGATGTGTAATGCTCTTCATACCTTGGAATTTTCCAATAACAATACCTTTATTACAGGTTTAAAAAATGTAGACTCGCGTGGGTCGAAATGTCGTGCTTATCTTATTATAAATATATTAAAGACCCGCGATCCATATTAGTTAGTTAAATTCCAAAACCGTTATAATTGTTTATCATCAACCTTCGGCCTTGGTCTCACCATCAAGATATAAAAGTGAATTAATGTGGAAAAATAGTGTGTACCATTAACAACGTGGCACCCTGATCACGGACTTTACATCAAAACTCTCTACATCATCAGATTTGCTCCGAGGACGTTCCGTGCGGACGACTTCAACGACCCCGTACACCTGGAACGTATATCCACCCTCAACACCTTCACCGTGACCGACCTGGGGGCGGTCAAGCCCGACACCAGCGCCGATTATACGTCCGACTATTACCGGATAAACGAGTGGTACAAGAAATGGCTGCCCGACCACGTCAACACTCGACACGACACCAAGACGACATACCAGGTAGGAAAATGTAAAAAACGCGCTTAGGATTGAAAATGAGACATCAATAAATTTTTTAGGTTCAAATCCGGTACGCTAACAACACGAACGAGACGTATACGTTCCACGGTCCTCCTGGAGAAGACGAAGAACGGGGCCCGGTCCAATGGACGAGGCCCTACTTCGATTGCGGCAGGTCCAACCGGTGGCTGGTGGCGGCGGTAGTGCCGATAGCGGACCTCTATCCCCGGCACACCGGCTTCCGTCATATCGAATACCCTACCTACACCGCCGTCTCCGTGGTCGAGATGGACTTTGATCGGATCGACATCAACCAGTGTCCTCCGAGCAAGGGAAACGACGGCCCCAACAAGTTTGCTGACACCGCGCGGTGCAAGAATGAGACCACGGAGGTAACGCGTTTATTGAAATGTCCTAGACACCACGCAGCCCATACAAAGCAACATAACTATATGAACGATAGCCGAAACTAGAATGTAGTCATGCCAACTTAGGGCCCAACATAACTCTGCGTTTTTCCAATCTTCATCTAGCGAAAGAAAGGCTAAGTAAAACCATGGCGGAAAGCCAGCAAATGATACTAATGCGCAGTTCAATTCGTTCGCTCCAAGTGTGACCTAAATAAATGCGTAAATGTGTATTAATATGGTGGGGTCTGTTTTAGTAGTTAATATTGATGAAGCAGTTTGAAATTTTCAGACTCGGATTGCCGGAATTTAAAAGTTTTTTGAAAAAAGTCTTTAAAACATTCAACATCTTTTTACACAAAATATTCTGTAATTCATTATTTTTGAGCTGGTCATGCAAATTCCATTTTAACCTGTCTGAAATTGCCTTCTTTGAACGTCATATAGGTTTGAAATCGTTTCTAGTGCGAACCCATACACGGCTGGGGATTTAGGAGAGGCGGCTACCAGTGCCGGTGTAGACCTGGGTACCGGTTGCCTTTGCAGATGAGGCGCCCCTATTTGGGGGAGATTGTCGAGCGAGCAACCGCTGAACAGTATTACAACGGATTCGACTGCAAAGCCATCGGGTGTAAGTAAGACTACGTTAAAAACTCGTTGAAAACATTGAACTACTATGAAATTCGGCATCGAAATAAAATAAAATAAAATTTTCATCATGCTCCCCTTTCTCCTATCTCAATTTTTTAAACAATGTACAGAAAGCAGGAAAATAGTCAGCGGTGTAGGCGTCTTTTGTTAATGTAGCTGGAATAATTTGAACCAAACCATATTGTCACAAACAACCCTGACAAATTTAAGAAAATCGACCAAACAATACATTTCCATGACATGCGCTTTCAAGATTCAATCTTTATATAGGTGATTAGACTCCACAACTTCACTAGTGGGTACTTGCCTCTGATTTGGTTATCTCAGCAGATGCACTCCCGATAGACTTTTACATTGGCATAGAATGTTTCCTTCCATTAGACTTGGATGCCTCTGAACCCAGTCAGTACTTACCATTATTTTTATGGCCTTTCATTTGTAGATATCTCGTTTAATGCCTTATGACAATCCAAAACGAACTTGGATGTTATTTTGATGAATTGCGTAGCTATTATTGCCACTTCATTATCCGTGTAGAACCCAATCTTCTTGTTACGAATTTTTTTCGTCTCTATATCTCTTGCTCAATTCTAGGTTCATATATTGTAGCTTTTGCCCCTTCTTGAGCAGATCATTTCCGCCATTATTGGTGATCCATTTTTCCAGTCTTCCTGTGCTGGAATTTAAGGCTTCTAAAGCAGTACCTGGGTGTAGCATGATCTGGTTCTAACGGCGACAATTTCTAAACCGCCAGGGATCCACAAACTGCCGGTGCAATGGGAGAAGGCTCCGTGGTATGTTCGGGAACAGACTCTGGTCCAATATCCCGAGTACCTTGACCCGGTTCGAGGCCCGGAATCGCTTAAGCAGCCCCGGATCAACATTCACCGTACGCTCGACTTCATCCTGGGCATGAACAAGGACACATGCAAGAAGTATAGAGCCGAGGACTTGGTGCTGCACGGCGGCGTCATGGCCGGCGCCGAGGAGTTTTTCGAAAACGAGGCGAAAATGGCACTGCGTTTGGCCAACTTCATCAGCGCGTTCCTGCAAGTGTCCGATCCGCAGGAAGTGTACTCCGGGAAACGCGTCGCCGACAAACCGCTGACGGAGGACCAAATGATCGGAGAAACCGTATCGATAGTGATGGCCAACAATCGAATATTTACTGCCGGCACTTATTGGGAACGCAATAAGTTTACGAATCGAACGTTGTTCGCGCCGTACGCTTACAGGGAGCATTCGCGCAAATTTAAGGTCGAAGATTTAGCGCGTCTTGATAAATCTGACGAAGTCTACCTTAATAAGCCTTGGTTCAGGTTCCTGAGGAACCGTTGGGCGTCCAATTTCGACAGCCTCGAAAAGTTTTGGCTCAAAATACGCGTGAGGTTCAACGAGACCGGTGAGACGACGAGGAAATTCGAACACTACCCGAACTACTATTACGGCGCCAAACTGGACCACGGCTACTGGAGCTCGCCATACTATGATTGCGACGGCAAAGTGCCTAAGTGGCACGTGATGTACGCGGCCCCTTTCTTCGGATGGGACAGTCTTCAAGTCAAGTTGGAATTCAAGTGAGCATTTAAAATTACGCGTGACAAAATAAGTATAACATCGAGAATTGTGTCTGTCCTTTCAGGGGCGCCATAGCGGTGACCATGGACCTGCTGAAGCTTGACATTAACCAGTGCCCCGACAAGTACTACGTTCCCAACGCGTTCAAGGACACGCACAAGTGCGATCAGAAGACGTCTTACGTGAGTAGTTCAAATGTTTCGCGGATAATTCAAGTATTTAACAAAAATTATGGTAAAAAGGTTGTGTAGGGTGTGATTCTAGATATAGAATTCTAATAATAATAATAATAAATTGCCTTTATTGTTGTGTATTGTTATATACAAATATACAGTAGAGAAGAGGCAAGTCTAGCAAAAGCTACTCCACTTAACCTCTTAAATGTTTAAATTGAAAACTAAATAGGAAGTTATAATTACATTGATAAATTAAATATAGTATAATAGATAAATGTAATAGTAATATGGAACGATACAAAGTTATTAAAAGTAAAAATAAAAAGCAATAACATGAAAATCAAATTATTTGAGATGTTAGTAGTTTCAACCTGAAATATTTTTTAATGAATTTAATTGAATCGGATTTTACCGGATCGGGTACACTATTAAAAATTATAACAGCATCAGCATCAAGGCATGGCTAATAGAGCACTAAACCAGAGGTCATAATCCAAATGATAAGTGATTGAGTTAAAACTTTCCTTAAACTGAAATTAAGGATAGTTCTATGTCTGTATAAATGACGCAAAACCAAATAAGACTTTTTCACCAATAAATCGAAGTCTACAATCAAATATATCCCCAAGGTTTTTGTTACAATTCACAATTTTCTTACGTTCACCGTTAATTAATTAATAAATACATTTCGGATACTTGTTCAATATTAGGGTTTGGGGAAAAGAACATTAGACTGCATTTTTTAGCATTAAGTTGAAAATGATGCCTAGAATAATATAGAAATAAGTTATGCAAATTCAAATTGATATAAATTGAAGCAATATCAAATAATTTAAGATTGAAGGAGTAAAATAGCTGAGTATCGTCAGCAAATGAATGCAAATTCAAATATTCGATGGCTGTATAAATATCAGAAATATAAATTAAGAATAATATAGGTCCAAGGACGGAACCTTGCGGTACACTTGATGAGACAAGGAGAAATTCAGAACTTACATTTTCAAGGGTAACTCTCTGATATCTGTTAGCTAACTAGTTTTCAAAAAATTGAGTCGAAACATCATCGAAGCCGTAGTAACCCAATTTGGCGCACATAAGTTTATGGTCAAGCCGATCAAAGGCTTTAGAGTAATCTAAAGATATAAGTGCAGTCGCAAGATCATTATCTAATAATGTGATTAATTTCATTTACTCAAATTTGAAAAATGTAGATTTTCATACACTCTCTATTGCGGCATTGTTTTTATCACCATAATATTTTATCAACGAATTGTTATATTTCACAGCACCAAACTTTGTTATTTAAAATAGAACAGCCCGCATATTATTTAGTTTTCGGGTTTCTGAGAAAATTGGAAATGGATATTGAAAATTGGCTTATTCCTAACAGGATGTCCAAAACATCAATTACACCCTTTTTGAAGATGGAAATCTTTGTTTTTTCCAATACAATTGCATAGTGTGATATAAAATTTAATTCTACATCGATATCTGTTTTCAACGGTCGCCATGTTATTCCATATTTTCTACCAAAAGTCAATCAAAACAGAAAGTTCTTTCTGGTTTACTTTTTCCAGACCTGTACAAAATAGAGATGCATTATGGAACTGTGTTGACCTTCGATGTATGTCTTTCATCGATTATTACGTTCTAAATTCAATTTTTCTGTTCTGTTTCTTTATCTTTCGGTGTCTGTCAAATATCACATTAAAATAGAAATTACAGAATGACAAGAAAACCATTGAAAATAGGTATAGGAAATATCGTAACGAATAAATGCAATTTTCTTTTCCCTGAGTAATGGATTCGTTTAAATTTCAGTGCGTGCCGATCCTCGGCAGGGGCTTCGAAACTGGCGGCTACAAATGCGAGTGTAAGCAGGGCTTCGAGTACCCATTCGAGGACCCGATCACCTACTTTGACGGGCAGCTGGTCGAAGCTGAGTTCAGCAATATGGTGGATGACAACAAAACGCGCTTCGACATGTTCAAATGTCGACTGGCCGGTGCCGGGAGCGTCCAAAGTAGTCTACTTATCGTACTAACGTTATTTTTCGTTGTTTTCGGAGTGCAAAGGTGGAGATAAGAGAATCTCACACTTTCGCAAAGTGATTCTAGGTACGTGAGGCGCCTTAATCGGACAAAGTGCCTTCCATACAATGTACTATAGAGCAGTATTTTTTATAAACCACATGTTAAAGTTGGAACGTTTTATATTTTATGCGACTAAAGTTGCAATATTCATAACCGTCCAAGATATATATGCATATATAGTTTTTCCGTTGTTAATTTGTATAAGCCAAACTCCCGGGAAAAGTACCTGAGACTTAGGTAATATTAGACGTAGACGTATTTCAAAGAACGTGACGTAAAACACATTGGTTTTCAAGTAAAATCCCTGACACAGTCAATTATAAATCTTAGATAGTTTCTTTCGCTTCTTGTATAATATCTAATTTTAATTTAATTTAATCTAGAGCCCAAAAAATTCTGCAAAAACACTTTCGCCTCGATTATTTTTGTAAGTTGTATATTAATTTGTTTGTTACTTTTGCTTGAGAGAATGCTGGTAGGTTAGGTAGCAAAATTTTTAAAATGTACGCACATCCGACTTAAATGAAACTTCCTGCAGCAGTGTATACCTACTAAGAAAATAAGCTATTTAAATCAAAATTGACGCAATTTTATCGCGGTACTGAATCTCTGAAATGTAAGTTAGAGAACTCAATAGAGCTCTGTACATAGGAATAGTGTGGATATTTTCTTATTGTTTTCGACTATAATCGCTTTTTCCGTCCAAATAAGATTTATTATTTACTGATATTGATATTTTTTTATACAAGTTTTTGATACCACTTTTTAAATGTTGTATATCATAGTTATAAATAAACTTGTAAAAATTATGAGTCATTTCATTTACAATTAAGTGTGCCTTGCGCTGTATGCTCCAGAAAACACAAAAATGAACAAGCCGATTACTCAGGCAACGACACGTCAACGTGAAGAGCATTTTAATTTGAGTGCGAACGATTATAACGTATAGGAACCAAAAATTAACCAAAACTAATCTAATAAAAATGTCATTTTATTGCTCATGCGTGAATACCACGTGTTCATTTTTGTGTCGTACTTTTCAGATTTTTCGCCGTTATGGTGAAAACAAAAGTGAAGTGTAACTAAACATATTTTCAAAAAACTAGCGACTTACAAAGCACCATCACCATTTGTGAAGCGGGAAGCTGCGAAAGGTTCTCGTGTCGAATGGGGTCCGCCAAAACTAACTGCCAACACTGCCACACTTAACGGGACCGAAAGTTTGCCACACTCGAAAATATCTACGAAAACGTTAACGAATTTCGCGATTTTTGCACACGTCACCGAAACTTTCAAACGGTCGCGATTTGAAACAAATGAATCGAGATCGCCGTGGAAACGCGCGCCCGCGCACCCCAATTTCACAGCTTTGACGCGTCAATAAAAATCTCGCCCCTCTAGTTGTTCGAGGCAATCGTATAAATAATACAACAATAAAACGACCACTAAATACGTGCTGGCGAACAATATCGCGTAAATTGCCGCCACCCAACGCAGCAGCCCCATCGCCGCGATTTTGACAGCGTCGAATTTGAAATCCCCGCGGTTCGGCTCTAACTTCGCGGCATTCGTCGCACAGGGCCGCATTTGGCCCAATCGTTCGAATATACTTTAGGTGTTTGACATATTTTTTACATTTTTTCGCCCACTTCTGTAAATATTTATAGACTTGGTAAAAAAAAATAAATATTGGGAATATTTTTTAGTGAAAATTCTTTTTGGATTTCGAAAATTTTAGATTGGGGTGGCGACAAACATGTTTGGTAGGTATAGCTTTTATTTAACCATTTTTGTGCTGTGGTGCTACCCTTTTCCGTAAGGTTGTTTCGAGTGCGCGGTTTTCACTGGTAGTGTTTAGAATTTTTGAAAAAGGGCCCATTAATATTCGCAGTGCCGACGGCTCAGATGCTCGATCCAGTCTCGAGAACTAGCGCATTTTAGAGGAAGCATTTTCGTATCGTGTTATAAAAGCTCTCGACCTGCCTTCCTGCGTAAGGAACGGGGATCGTAAATCATCATCCTCCCCTCCGGCTCGAAAACTTTTAACGTCCGCGATGCGAGGGTGGCTAACAGGTTGCCGATGCGCCGCGACGCCCGGCGTCCCTATAGATGCAAACGTGCCCGTCCGCGGGATCAGTTTCGTCGGCGTCGCGTAGCCAGCACGTGTGGACCCCGTCTTCAGCGGGTCCGTCGCGTTTCCGAGCGAAAGTTTTCCAGCAGGCGCAGGTCCTCGACGTGTCGAGATTTTAAACTTTTCGATAGGTGGATGGTTGAAAAAGTAAGGTTAAGAGATCGCGGCTCGTTTTTGGTAACTTGGTAGTGTGGTGCGCGACGTTTTGTGTTGCCGGAAAGATGACGATGGACAACGCGGCTGGACCGAGTCACACGCAAGAAAGGTAGCGCGGAAGTTCTTGCATTATTGATATTTTTAAACTGTCAGATGAAGTTATATCCGAAGGAAATCTCGCAGGTTGTTGAAATAATGCTAAAAACCTCCAGGCAATGTAAACAAACCTATATGTGTAATTCCCCCGAAAATAACATTTAAATGTAGTTAGAAGGAACATCTATTTTGATGCTTATTTATTAATTATTTAAAAATCTTTTGGAGGCACAAAATATCGTTAGCTTGATATTAAATCTAATGTGCGACATTTTGTCTTGGAAAAATATATTTGGAACATGAAAGGTTTACTGGATCTGTATAAAGTATGTTTGTTTTCAAAAGGGTAAAAGGAGAAGACTAGAAAAAGATTAAAAAGTCCTAGGATGGACATAATTAGAGAAGCAAAAAAAAATTATGAAAAAGTCGAAGAGAAAGGTGTGGTAAAATTAATTAATAAAATGTCAGGACGACAACGAAACCTAAAAAAAACTGATAAGAAAACGTTAAAAAATACTATTTAGCAATTTACATTAAATTTTAAAGGTTAATATTTTAGATGTCTTCTATTTTTGTGAAGTACATGTTTATTGTTATTTAACATTATTGCTCATTCACTTAGAAACTCGTGAAAAGTGAAACTTTAAGCTTGCCTATAGGTATAACTTGTTCTTTGTTCTATTTTACAAGCCCAGTATTTATAAAAAGAAATCAATAATTTTTTTAAACCTTCGTTACTCCAAAATAAGAATTATCCATGTAGCGTCTGTGTAAAATAAAAATGTCTAATAAGTGGTATTTAAAAGGCAAACAAAATTATCAAATTTTATTTTGAAGTATTGTTGCTAAATATATTGCTTGACGAGAAGTAAAATTATAATTTTTATTTACATTCATTTTAAATTCGCATATTTGTTTTTTGCAGCGAAAACACAGCTGCCGCGTCGGAACCGCCCCCCCGTTGTCAAGAACCGCCCCCTCTCAACACTCAAAGGTAAGAATTACACCTGTTACGTTCGCGATAAATTAGATAAATACAATTAATATAAAACAGTCTAAAATTTTTGAAACTCTCTAATTAATTAAAGCTCTAATTAATCCGTATATACGCAAATAACCAGATAAGATAATGCAGGTGTAAATAAATGGATAGTAATTTAATGCAATTTAATTATCGCCTATTGATTTTGAAAAAATTGGGCTGTAGGAGGGGTTTTTTTTGCCTATAGTGTCGCCGTGTATCATATACAGGGGGATTCGAGATTATTAATTAATATATGGACCAGATGAAAACAATTAGATGAAATTAAAGTGGCGTTAAATTTTTCGTAGGAAATTTTAAAAATAAGTCGATGTTTATCGAAAATAATCGACAAGTAACACAATAATCGAGTAGGCCTTTGTATTACAGGGTGTTCAAGAAATCCTCGCTCAACAATAAATTGACGTTATACTTGAGCTCGAGGGATCTGGTGGTCTCCGCTGGAAAAATCGATAAACTTTCCGGGGTCCTCCTCGTAGATCCAGAATTCGTCCAGGGTAGACGCATATTTGGCCAGATCACACTGTCATTTAGGTAAGCGAAACCAGTGACATTAAGATTCTCTCTTAGCTTTAAGCCTCTCCTTTGTTATGACAACCAAATTCCTGGCGTCATTTCCTCTTTTACCAACAAACTCTTTTAGTAATCAAACTGAACGAACGGAATCTGTCGTCACAATTTTAATTTACAATTGCTATTTTTACTTGGATCCTATAATCAGAGTTTACATAATAAAATAGTGCTATAAACTTTGCTATAATCGAATGAAAACATTGTACACAATGTTCCAGATTGCAGTTTCTCCGTTTTCTTGGTTTCTCTTTGCGGTTTTCGCGGCTCTGTATCAGTTTTGAACTAGTAATCATGAAAGCACTTTGAAATATAGAAAAAAGGTAAAAATTGCTACATTTTCTTTACTCGCAATCCAGTGGTGTAGATCACCCTGTGTGTACTCGACAAGAAAATAATACGATTGAGAAGATGTATGACGTATTGTGAATTTTCTCATTAATTGATAAAGTTTTTATAGTATAATAATAAAAATTGACAGTTTTAGGTTTTTGACATTTACGAATGTAAAACTTATTGGAGCCTTTCTCGTAGAGGACGCTAGTTCCACTGTATTATTTAGATAAATTGAATCATTGAATCATCTATAAAAATCGAAGATAGACTCTCAAAAAGCTTTAAAACAACAAAAGGGCTGCTACAAGGATGCTCCACATCACCAACATTGTTTAAAATATTTCTAGAGATCTTAAAACCATGGAAGAAAAAATGTGAACAAATGGGAATTCCAATCAGAGGCGACTGTCTTTACACGTTAAATTTCGCGGACGACCAAGTTGTACTCGCACAAGACGAAGAAGACCTAAGTGACATGTTACGAAAACTGAAGGAAGAATATGAAAAAAATGGAATGGAAATAAATTTTTCAAAAACGGAATACCTGGCAACAACAGAAGATGGAGAAAACTACCTACAAGTCAATGAAAATCATCAAATAAAGAGAACCAAAAATTTCAAATATCATAATATTTGATTCATAATATCTCAAAAAGGGACAACAGAGGAAGAAATGAACAGTAGACTAGGCCAGACGCGAAACTGTATCAGACAACTAAATCCAATACTCTGGGATAGACACATCACTCGACACACCAAATCACATATATTTAACACCATAGTACAGAGCGTAATGACATACGGCGCAGAAAACTGGGTGATCAACAAAAAATACAAAAGTAAAATACAGGCCACTGAAATGGAATACTGTAGAATTTCGAGAATAGACAAAGTAAGAAACGAGGAGATCAGGCAGCGAATGGGTGTCAAGAAAGATACCTTAACATTGGTTGAAGAAAAGAGATTGGTATGGTACGGGCATGTAAGAAATAGGTGGATACACAAGATAACAGAATGGAGCCCCATAGGTAGAAGGAAAAGGGGTAGACCCAGAAGATCTTGAAGGGATGAAGTAGATGAATCTATGGAAAAAAGAGGTATCGGAGATGAATGGCAAGACAGAGATGGATAGAGGCGTAGGTTGAGAGAAGGGAGACAGCGACCGCTGTAAAAAACCCTATATATATATATATATATATATATATATATATATATATATATATATATATATATATATTATTTAATTTATGTAAAAAGTAGTCAAAGTGTGGGGTCAAGTAGATATTTCCTAAAGTTTAAAAAATTCGACGATTGCAAAGAGCAGGGCGTCGCGACGCGTCGAAAAATTATTCGATTGCAGAAACTTTGGAAATACGCGCATACAAAAGTACATATTATTTAAAAACTTTTTTGTTATTTACTCAAACTTATTTACTTTACCCGTTTCTAAGTTATACCGATTTAAAGTAAACATTTCTTGATTAATAAAAATGTGATTAACGCTTATTTCTACAAGTATGCCATGAATGTTAGTTACTATGGCAACCATTGTTAACGCAGTTGTTTTAAGTGCAATTACAAACAATAGATTTCAACTATTTTAGTATGATTTTATTTATTATTTTTGATCGAAATAGTTCTGATAACATGATAAATAAATGAAAAAACAGTAAAATACCTACAAGTTAATAACCAAAATTATTATTGCAATTAACTACATAATAAGACATTTCAAAAATTTTGTTCAAAATTATGTCCATCTGCTCGAACACAACTATCAAAAACTTTTAACAGATGAGCTTGGGTCACTTGTAGGAGAGTCCTTCTTGTGATAGCGGCACACGCTGCACTAATTTTGTTAATGAGATCAGCCATATCTTCGATAGGTTCTTCATAGATAACGTTTTTTAGGTAGCCCCAAAGAAAATAATCTGGTGGTGTAATGTCCGGGGACCTCGCCGGCCATCTTACCGGTCCATTAGTACCAAACCATCTATTGGGATATTCTCGGTTCAAATACCTCGTTACTATTTGGGCATTATGTGCAGGCGCTCCATCCTGCTGTAGCCACATATTCATTCTAGTGTCAAGAGGCACTTCTTCTAATAGTTCCGGAAGTGTAGTTTGAAGAAATCTTAAATAGCGATCTGCATTTAAAGTTCCTTCGTAAAAGTAAGGTCCAATAAGGAATCCATTTAATATGCCGCACCAAACATTGATACTAAAAATTCGTTGGTTACCTCTTTCTGTAATCCAACGAGGTTGGTTTTCGGACCAAAAACGACAGTTGTGTCTATTAATTTTGAACAAAATTTTTGAAATGTCTTATTATGTAGTTAATTGCAATAATAATTTTGGTTATTAACTTGTAGGTATTTTACTGTTTTTTCATTTATTTATCATGTTATCAGAACTAAATCGATAAAAAATAATAAATAAAATCATACCAAAATAGTTGAAATCTATTGTTTGCAATTGCACTTAAAACAACTGCGTTAACAATGGTTGCCATAGTAACTAACATTCATGGCATACTTGTAAAAATAAGCGTTAATCACATTTTTTATTAATCAAGAAATGTTTACTTTAAATCGGTATAACTTAGAAACGGGTAAAGTAAATAAGTTTGAGTAAATAACAAAAAAGTTTTTAAATAATATGTACTTTTGTATGCGCGTATTTCCAAAGTTTCTGCAATCGAATAATTTTTTGACGCGTCGTGACGCCCAGCTCTTTGCAGGCGTCGAATTTTTTAAACATTAGGAAATATCTACTTGACCCCACACTTTGACTACTTTTTACATAAATTAAATATTTCTTTTCGTTTTGGACTTATTGGCGTGCGGAGTTTTAAGTGAAAAACCCTGTATATATATATATATATATATATATATATATATATATATATATATATATATATATATATATATATATATATATATATATATATATATATATATACATTTTTTTGTCTGTCGGGTTATGGTTAATCCATAATGACACTTGTTTAAACCCTCTAACTCTGTCGGTTATTTAACTTATTTGCAGTTAAAAAGTTCATGGTATTTTTTCAGATTTTCAAAAAATATTTAAAAGGCAGGGGGAACAATAAAAATCGAATATTCAACAAAAAAAACTTGAAATCCGGGAGATTTAAATAAAGATATCCAGTTAGATTGGCCAGCAAAAAAGGACCACATCAAATGTTCACCTTGAACTTAAGCAGAAAATGTCTTGCTTTTACAGAAACAAAGTTTTTATAAATTTTTGTATTAAAAAAAAAAATCCAACATTGCTTTTCAAATCCTCGTCGCTCCAAGAGAAAAATCTGAATCAAGTAAAAATAATTTTTAAAAAGGATCGGAATATTTTTGGACGATAGTATAAAAAGCTTGCTAGAATGAATTATATCTTTTCTTTTTTTTTTCTTAGATCATAGGATGTATTTATGTATATGTGTATATTTATATAAGCAGGTCTGGTTATGGAACTGGGAAAATTAGAATACTATATTTTTCGGTCCAATGTAATCTTCCTCAGAATAATAATAATAATTAACAAAAACTAATGAGAAAAAATGAGATTCTAGGTACGTGACTAACAATTATGACAATTAGAAATAATATAATGCTCCCCGTATGACTGATCTCTTTGTTAAATATAATTTTTAGATTATTTTATTGTGGGGAAGGTCACATTGGACCGAAAGGTCGAATAAAAAACAGAGTACTCTAATTTTGCCAGTTCCATAACCAGACCTGCGTCCGAAGAAATCTAACATATCCGATATGGTGCTGCTTCTGCGGGAGGGGAGGCGACTCCGCCCCCCGAATTATTGCGTTGTTTATTTCGCCCGACCGTAGTTGCGATGTCCCCGTTGGGTGCTGCGTATCGCTCTATCGTTTGATGTTTTCTACATATTCGATAAATGCAGAAGGTCGTCTCTCGTATTCAGGTGTACGGACTTTTCTATCTCGATGACCCCTCGTATAATCCTGGTCCTAAAATCAGAAATGTTAGCTATTTGTTTACAAGTGCCGAAATCAATTTTATGGCCTGTCTGGTGTTGGTGCCGGAATAAAGCCAATGTTGCACACTATATACTCCTTGGTTTTGTTTCGGCTTTCTTAATATTGCTCAATAGAATGATCAGGTTTGTATGCCGTAGATATCTCGTGTTTCCATAATATCCGGCCGATACTGTCAGTAACCGCCATGATGTATGTCAGAACGGCGATCGATCTGCGTTGGGTCTCGTCCTGCACTCTCTATTGCGGCTGCTGTTGTTTGCTTATTGCACTGCTGATGGTGCGTCTTTGGTATCCATTTTGCCGAAGACAGCTACTAATTTTCTTCAGTTCATCATCTCTGTTCTTCTCGTTTGTAAGCCTGAAGGACCGAGGAATTAATGTAGTTGCCACTGCCTGTATCTGTGATGGGTGGTGGTGAGACTCAGCGCTCAGATATCTATTGGTGTGTGTTAGTCTTCTATAAAGGGCAGACTGTTATCCTCTTCAAGTTCTATTGTGAATTGAATTCTCAGATGGCCTAGGAATTTCAAAAGCTCGTCTTTGCCAAAAGACCATACAACAAATATGTCATCAACGTATCTTGTCCATAGTTATGGCCTCAGATTTGCCGTCTCTATTGCTTTCTTTTCGAAGTAAATCGTGAAGAGGTTAGCAATAACAGGTGAGAGAAATGATGCTTCTCCATCCAATTATCGATATTTTTTCCCCTTGTACGACTCTTTGGGAGCCCGTAGAATTTTGGACAACGGCTAGATTTTTCCCCGGGTATAAATTTCTTTTTTGTATCCTCGTTTATTCATGACTGGAGAATTTTGTTGTTTTTTCCAAATACGTCGTGGGATCTCTGGTGACCGTTCCTCCAATTTTACACTATAATCCGATGTATTCATGCGGACAGTGGCATTTCCTTTGTCTGCTGGCATTATTATGGTATTTTCTTTTTTGTTTAGATTCTTCAGGGCTTGCATTTCTTCTCTGCTTAAGTTTGGTTGTGGTGGTTTTGACTCTCTTAAAACTCTGGCGATACCTTGCCTTATTAACGCCGCATCTTGTTCGTCTATGGTGGAAAGACTTGCTTCGACGTTGGAAACGATCTCTTCAATGGATGTACCTCTGGATTGGAAACGTGGTATGCTGAAATATTTTGAACTGTAAGGCCTTGGTTTGTGTTTGGCACTTGTCTATTTTTCTTGGAATTTGACTGAAGGATTTCTAATTTCTTCCACGGATTTTTTGATGTGATATCTTTGTCTTTTTCAGTGCGCCGTAATGTTAATAATTCTATGCGGTCACACAGCAACTGATGAATCTCGTTGCTTAGTTTAAGGTGGAGTCTCAAAAGTTGTCGCTTAGTCTCACTAACTTCCAATTTTAAAATTTTAAGATGAGGTACACTGCTGACTGCCTGACTGCCTCCTTTTGGTTAGTTTAATAATAAAATTTGTCACCGCAAGACTCGACGACGCATATGTCGCTTGTGTATTTTGGTTTCAGATTTTTCCGTATTTTATCGACGATACGATAAAAAAGCACGTCCGGTATTTAGATACGGGCCGTCAAAATGCGTCCCGTATCTGACGAATATCCGTTTACGGGGATCCGCATGTTATGAATATTTATGTGCTCCGGGAGCGAAATCAGATATCGATGATATCGTACCAGCTCGGCGCGACATCATTTGATAATACGCGGCAAAATTGTTTTGTTTTCATGATGATCGATAATACACGACGACGCGCGAGGCAGGGGGTGGGGTGTCCCACCCCAACTCCCGCCATCCGATTAAATTCGTCCGCTTTGTTTCGCAGGTACGGTCGCGAAGACGAGGAAGTCATGGGCCTCAAATTCTGCAACGAGGCCGTCATGTGTCTCGCTCAGTTGTATCCACCGCAGTTGCCGCCAGGCGGCGCCACACAGACCACTCCCTTACAGGTAAAGAGTGGGGGCGGGGGGCGGATCGGGTCGTATGTAATACTACTGTTCGAATGAAATACTTAAAAACATTTCTAGGTTGCAAAGTGGACTAACAAATAAATTTTATATGAAAAATGCTTGCTAAATGTGCAGCAAGTGATAAATAGGTATATAGACTGTTCCATTTAAAAGATCAGAGAAAATTTCGCTTCAGAGCGCCACCTAGTATTTATATTACACTATATGCTGGAAAAAATGTAATAATATCAATAATATTCTCATTTTTATTGGTTTCAGAGTTATTAAGCCTATTATTGGAAAAGTAAAAAAGTACCTTCTTTTTTTTTAGTATAACTTTCTTATTTACGAGAACAGATCTTCACTATAATTCTCCATTATTCCATAAACTAATAGCCTAAGTTAGTGTCTAAAATTATTTTGTATTCTAATAATTGAAGAGTACAGGGGAAAAAAGATGAGGGTCCAACAAACTTCATTCTGAGTAATAGTCATTTTTATTTAGGAAGACTACTCTAGAACATGGTGAAGAAAAATAGGATTTTGGAATATAATTATTGCTAACTTGAACTAAAATACTTTTTGACAGGATATGCAAAAAATATATAAACTGTCAATACAAAAGTATAAAAAATAAACTTTGATTCCAATACAAAAAAAAACTTGGCAATAAAGATGTATTGTAATGTTATCAATGTGGTATTGCTTTAAAAAAATCCGGCGCTTTTTAGATGCTGCAGGTCTTGAAATTCAGCTTTAGATACAGGTATTGGCCCATCATAACCTAAAGTTGGAAGCAAAAAACACTTCTCAGGTAGCGAAAGTCTTTTTCTTTTTTGTTTTTGTGACACCATTTTCAAATTCTCGACCAGTTAATTCTTTGACCCGTCTTGAAGGAAAAGGACACTTGGGCATACAGATATCCTCTTGAAATTTGGTCCACCTCTGAAAAATGGACTGACCTTCACAAAAAATAACTTTAAAAGGGCTGGGTTTTGTTCGGGAATCCCTTAAAACTGTTTCACTAAACCCATATTTCTATCGCATTCTAGATACGAATGTTAGCGAACACCGTCAAGTTTTTATTTTGTCCACAGCATGTCACGAAATATTGTAAGCTTCTTGACATCAAAATCTAGATGGTTCAAAATGTAATCCCATAGCAGTGAAGGAACATTATCAGGGCCCTTTTTTCCTGAAATTTCAGTATAAGTATAGAAAAGAGCTTCAGAGGTCGAAAGGGCATGTATGTTGAACATGTAGAACGAAAAGTTGTATACGATAATACATGACATTAATTGTAATATTCGGCAGATGAAGATTTTTTTGAAAATCCATTCATTTAACAGGTTTTTTAAATGCACTTTTTTTTTCAACTTGCAATCTTCGCAGTTCTGTGCGTAACTGCAGTGCATCGTGATCGTCTGCACTTTGATTAATTTTTTTTTCAATGTCGTCAATTTTTACTTTCAACTCATTGCATGTACTGCAGGTATCGCATCGTGGATACCCAAAAGCAATATGAAACTTGGTGTTGAATATTTCTCTATATTTTTCATAACAAACTAGTTTATCACCAGATTAATAAACCTTTGTTGTTTTAGCCAAGCCATTGTGAGAGTTTCTACTCTTAAATCGTCTAATGTGTTCCATGACCGACTCTGTTACTTCACTAGAAAGTCGGTTAGGTCTGAAAGAGTGCTTTAATCGCCCATCTAATGGCCCCGAACCCTTTGATTTGTAGTAGTAGCCTTTTTGCAGTTATGCCATGTAAGGCTAAAAAAGCTTTATAGCACACTGGGATTTCACAAAGTGCGTTGTTTTTTAACAATCTCACCTTATAAGTATACGAAAATGAATGAAAATCATCTTCATCATCAGATTTCCTGGGACGATGGCGTGTTACAGGTTTGCACGTTATTAAACCACTTTGTAGTTAATTAAACTTAGACACGATCCTGCAGTAAGATTTTAGAAACATTTAAGTTTTGGTTAGTTTGCACATTTGCAGTCTTGTCCAGTTTGATGACTACTAAGCGTAAATTTTCTTTTCCTTGTTTTTTGTTGCTCAGTCATTACTCAACAACAAGAAATATACCACAAAACTTTAAAAACAGAATAATCAATAATTACACCAATAAACTTCAACGTCAATAAAAACAAGTCGGTAACTAGGGACTAAACTACTACTACTTACATTTTAAATTCTGTTTATCATTGTACTGTCATCTTTCTCGCTATTTCTTATAGCTGGATAGTATTTTATAGCCGATATATTATACGAAATAACTGTTAGTCGTATTTGGGCAAAAAAATGGACCCCCATCTTTTTTCCCCTGTACTCTTCAATTATTATTGGAATTTGTAATTAAAGTAATCTCGAAGTCTCCTTGTGATGCCCTACATATACTTATGTCATTGAAAAAGGCTCAACAGGCCCATACTAAGATGTGTTCCTTTTTGGGGAAAGGAGGAATTATAGAAAAAAAAATTGATTACGCAGCTGACAGTGATGTTTTCATCTAAATCAGAAAATTTCATAAATAAAAAAAGTTATCTGCAATCTTAGAAACGGCCGAAAATTCGAAAACTACACAGGGTGTTCGGAAGTTGAGTTCAGAAACTTGGAGGAAAGATTGAACGTGGTAAAAGAATTTTTCGAGTTATAGCTTGTCAAAATTCATTTTTTAAAAGGCAGGGGGCTTAATTCTCAACGGAATACGATGCTATTTTCCCTGCATTTTATTTATTTAGACAGATATTGCAAAATATAATCACAAATCTTCAGAAAGTGTTACTCTTATTTTAAGTCGATAAGTGTTATCGACTTTTTTATTCTAGGCCCGAATACCCTGTACTTTTAATTTACAGAACATTACATTACGTACATTTGTGTTACGGAAAAGCAAAGTGGGAAAACAGTATGCTACAAATTAAAAAAGTCAAAAAATGGCATAAGTCAATGCAATAACGTTTATCTTTTTGTCGTAGATCATTTATATCTGTTATAGGTGTTTCATACAATAAAGATTTTAAGTGCTCCCAAAAAAAGTCCATCGGATTAAGGTCTGGTGAGCGAGGCGGCCAAGCTAGAGGTCCGTGTCGACCTATCCATCGATGTTCTAATGCCTGACCTTCGTACAGCCAAGTGGGGTGGAGCGCCATCTTGCAATAACCACATGTTTTCTCTCCACCGCAAAGGTACCTCTTCTAGCAATTCTTCTTGGAGAAATTGCAAATACATTTCCCCATTAAGCGATCTGTTAAAGAAATGAGATCCTATAAGATTATCTCCTACAATCCCGGCCCACATATTTAAAGAAAACCGGCGCTGATGTTCCACTGATGCATTTCTCAAAAATTTAAAATTACTCTCAATTGCTCATTACCCTCGTTAAGTGCTTGAACATGAAAGGCCCGAAGATTATTTTCATGCAAAACTTCCCAAACTGTAGAGCAAGCAATTCTTTCTTGAGCAGCAAGTTTTCTCGTACTCATTGACGGGTCAGCCTTCACATTTTGCAGAATTCTTTCTTCTCTTGCAGCGGCTCTTGTATACTTTGGTCTCTAGTCATATCAGGTTTGAATGATACCCTCGTCTTAGCAGATGGAACGTTTCTATTGGGATAAGCCTCGATATAAAGCCGTCTTCTGTCTTCCTGATTCCTAATACATACTAATTTTTAACGTGTGATTTAGATTGTGACAATGAATTTTTCAAATTTCATTAAGTCCTGTCAGGTAAAATCACATTTACAGGTAAAATGTGAGCCGAGAATAACAAATCGATAACACTTATCGACGATTCTACTTAAGGCATTCTGCTCTTATTTTGCAATATCTGTCTAAGTAAATAAAATACAGGGAAAAAAATGTTCTAGGTAAATCTTTCCTCCAAGTTTTCGAACTCAATTTCCGAACACCCTCGATCTGTAAGGCGGTCGAACGTTATTCACCAATGAAGACCATCACAGTTTAGAAACACTTTTTTCTGCTAAAACAATCCAGTTAAAAAGCTAAAAATCCGTCACACTCAATAGTAGTGGCAACGCCATTAGCAACTAATTACACTCAACGATTCGCTTTCCAATCAACTTAGGACCGCTGTATTTATTCGGTTGCCGAACCCGCCGGCAAAACATTCGCAAAATATTGACTGGCGGGGTTTTTAACGAAATCAAACGAGCAATTTCGTTATTGCTGCCGGCGTTGCTCCAATGGTTTCCGATATTGGGGGGGGCCCTCTCGGTCTCAAACGATTAATTACATAGTCGCGACCCGCTTTGCAGTTTGTTCCCGTGGAATTATTTCCAGCGCCGCTCGACAACAACTCCCTGCATCATCCACCCCGGGGCGGGTAGCAAATAAACCCATAAAAACCCCCACCTCAATCGTCGAGAACTTTCTCGTTGTGTTTCGCTATGTTAATAAAATTTCACGTTATGGATATTACTTTGCGGAACTTTGAACCGAAAATTGGAACGGAGGGGACAGGCTTGGGGCATACCGTCTACAGGATCGTCACTTTTAAGGTCCTTGGCAACATCCAAATTTCGACGGTTTTAATAGATAATTTTTGACCAAAAACCTTTGACGGCGGTTTTAGTCGTTATATGTCAATATGCCAGTTCTCGACCGATTTATTTATTTATTTATAAACAAGTCTTTCCTACACACAGACACACAGACTCAACTACAATAAAAGGACAGAACAAAATGTCACCAAAAAAGAGATACTTTGTCAGTGGACTAGTTACAAATAATTACAGCTGTTTATTTATTTTATTTTATTTATTTATTTACAACAGCAAACGGTTAAGCCGATGGGGCTGACGAATAAATTTACTGCGTATACAAATTATGTAAAAGAAATATTCCTTTTTAAAAAAAAACATAAAATATATACATAGTGTATCTTCAATGATATCACAAAAAAGAAAAAGATTTTTATGAGAGAAAAAGGAAGAAAAAAGAGTTATTGATTGTAATGAATATCTACT